AAGCTTTTCTATAGATTACTCCTGTTATTTTTTTTTTTTATTTTTAACATTTCTTCTAATTGATTATTATCTAGTGCTAAAGCATAGTTATAATGATGTTGAATTTGATACAATTTTGTTCTTAATTGCTCAAATTTTTCTTCTATCTTTGGATCTTTAATTTTATTTCTTCTTTTTAGTATTTGTTCTCAGTTTGTTAGCTTTTGTTTTATTATTGTTCTTGGTTATATTGTTGTAGATCTACTTGGTGATCTACTTGGTATTTTTACTTGTTTTCCTTTTCTATTACTTGATTTTGCTTGCGGGAATACTTCTTCTTCAAACTGATTTATAGTTTGAATTGTTTCTTCAAGTATTTTGTTGTTAAGCTGTTTTTGATCTTGTTCTTGTGGTTCTTTATTTGCTAGTCCTAGTGTCATTTTTGCTAATTGTTCTTAAGTCTACTATTTCAGATTCTTTATAGGTTATTCTAAATCCTATACCTGTTCTCATAGTAGGCATTACATTTCTTAAATTTTCTTGTTGGTCAATTGCATTAAACTATTGTTCTATTTTTTGATTTACTTCCAATAGATCGTTTGCATATTCTCTAAGTTTTTATACTTCTTGTGCTTGTTCCAATTGATCTTGTTGTTCTATACTTGGTGTTTCTAATATCATTGCACAGACCTCTTTGTACTAGGCTATCATTTGATAGACTTCTTGTGATATGGTGCTGGTTGGATTCATTAAGTATACATGCTTGTCCATTCCTTTTTCAAATATACATTCTGGTGGACTGTTGTTAATATATATTAACATTATCCCTTATCTGTATATATATAGTCAGGGTTGGCAATAGAGCCAATGGAGTTAAATAGTTATGTGAATGGAGTTCAAAAAACTAGTATCCATTGGCTCCATTCGCAACTCCATTGGCTCCATTCGCAGCTCTAGTGGCTCCATTGAACTCCATTGCCAACCCTGTATATAGTATATTTCTAAATTCGTGTACTATTTTTTCATATTCTGCAGTATAGAAATGCTGAGTATCAAAGCAAATTCCTATTTGCTTTCTTTTTTTTTTCCTGTCTTTAAATCTTAACTCTTGTTTTATACTATCCAATATATTTATAAGGTCAGCAACTGTTGCACCAAAATAGTTGTTAGATATACTGTTTTTTAATAAGATTCCTATTTTCATTGGTTGTATCTTTTCTAATATATAATTGATATTATTGATCATGTCTAATCATTATTGTTTATCTTTTGTCTCTAAGTATAGGACTGCCCATCTTATATTTATTTCTTCTGCATGTGCATATTTTTCTATAATTCTTTTTATTTTCCAGTTTACTTTATTTTCTCTATACAGTTGATCATTAATGTATAGTCCAAGTATTGTATGTAGTACTATTTTTAATCCTATGTTTTTATTTCCTTCTATTATTTTTCTATTTGCTTTTTTATCATGCATTGCCATTTTCAATGCTTCATATTTTGGAATATCTTCTAATTCTTGATATTTTAAGAATATCTGAAGGATATTTGATTGTATCAATACAGCTATAGATACTATTTCTGTCCATATTCCATCTGTTGTTACTTCTATAAGTTTCTTTTGTTGCTTATTTAAAGAAACCTGTCATCTTAATTCTTTAATTTGCTTTTCAAAAGTTTTAGGTAATATGCTTTTAATAAACTTTTGGTTCTCTTTGGGTTTGTATTTTTCAATTACCCAATTGATTTGGTTAGTATTAGAGTTTCCTGTTAATGGTTTTTTGATATTCTTTTTAGGTTTTCATTGTAGATACTTTTTAATAGTATGTAAATATTTTTTTAATATTTTCTTGCTAATTTTAGTACCTTTGGAGGCTTTCTTTTTGTTTTCTTTAGTTAATTCATTATATTTTTTGTTTAATCTGAGCTCAAATTTGTTTTATTCATCATGTTGGGCGCTATCTTGAACATTAGCGAAGATGTAACCAATGTATGTTTCTTTGCTACTATTGTATCGTAAGGAATCATTTTTTGTTCACCATGTTGGGTACTATTGCAGGGTTTTTTCTTGCTTTTGAGAGGTGTATTACTAGCCTTTCGAGCAAGATGACTAAGTGTAACAGTTGTAGGCAGTGTTGTATATTTTGGCTGTCCAAAGCCTTTTTTGACTTGTCCATGTCCAAAATTGTCCAAGTGTCCAAGATTGTTTAAAGCTTGTCTAAGCTTTAATAATTAATAAATTTGTCTAAAAAATATATAACTATATATTTTTTTAGATGCTGAATTCATTTTAATTAAAATTAAAATAGATTATCTTAATAAAATTTTAAGTAATTTTACTTTATTTAATTGTTTAAGATTGTTCAAAATTGTCTAAAATATTGTTCAAAACTGTCCCATGACAACACTGGTTGTAGGTATACCTGTATTAATGTTATGTAATACTGGAGTAGACTCTTCTTTTTTCAAGATGCAAGAGGGTTTCCTGGAACAGAGTTAAGATTTAACCCCAATAACCCTTGTGATTAGTTCAGGAGAATATCTTGATATGATATTGGTTTCTTATTTATTCGAGCTATTTTATTATTTCTATCTCTTAAGATATTTAGTTTATTTTGATCTATTTCTGATAAGAGCATATAAGCTTGGTTTTCTTCAAGAATTGATATTTTAAAAGTTGCTTTAATATTTTCTACTTGGAATATTGCTTTTACTTGTTCAAGGTTTTTTATTGTTTGTCCTCCTAGTAGAATAGCAGTTGATTTCTTTATAATATCTATTTTTTCTAGTAATCCTAATTCTTTTGCCATGTCTGATTTTATGATATTTGCACTTGCTTCTTCGTCTAATAATACTAGTATTGGTTTGTTATTTAATAGTACTATAAATTGGTATTGCTTCTTTTCTTTTGGTCTAAGATTTTGCTATTTAGCTTCTTTTAGAAATTTGTAGATTTTAACAAGATAGTTGTATTCATTTTGTTCAAATGCTTTTTTTATCATTTCTTTATTTGTAGGTTTGGCAGAGAACTTTTGATACTTTTGATAAATAATAGGATTTTTATTAAGTATTTTAGAGTTAATATATTTGATATTATTAATACTTTGTATTTAGATAATACTAATAGTATTTATGTTCTCTCTAGTGTAGCCTTTAGAAAGTTTCTTTAAGGTTTTCTCTTGAACACTAGATAAGTTCCCTATTTGAAAGAATTAACCTTCTTCCAAATGGTTTTATGAAAGTTATTTGCAGTTATAACTTCTTCATTATCACATTCTTCTTCAGTTTCTTCTTCAGATTCTGAATAGTATTCTTCTTCACTTTCTTCTTCATTTCTTTCGTAATGTTAAAATTTCTTTTTGGTAAATTTTCCTTTATACAGTTTTCTTTTTCCTTTATTGTAAAGTTTCTTTGAAAAGTTTTCTTTCTTGAATCTTCTTATTTCTATTGATACTATTCTTTCTACTCTTTTCCTATTTATATATATTCCATTGTTTCGAGTACATCCTGGGTAATGTTTTGGATATAGTTTTCTACATTGTAAGCAAAATTTTTTCTTTTTAAGTTTTCAATTATTTATGTTGTTAAAGGAGTCTTTCTTAGTATTTGAGTAGCAATTCCTGGCAAGATGTTCTGGTTTTCCATATTTAAAGCAGTTTTTTTTAGGTTTGTTATTTTGTAAAATATCAATATTTTTTATTGAAACTTTCTTTTGAGATCATTCTTTTTGAGTAAATTTTGTATTATTTACTTTAATTATTTTGATATTAGCTAGTTTTCCAAAGTTAATTTTCTCGCTTTGTAATATTATATGTCTTTTGCTTGAAATGCTCTTTCTTCTACATCCCAAAATTCTTGTAGAGTTGTTGGGTTAGTATGATGAATTGCTCTTTGTATTTCTATAGGTATTCTTGTTTTGAGGTGATTATATTCTCCTGCTTTGAAATTGTCATTAAATAGGTATCCAGAGATTTGTATTAATTTTTTATAAGTGCTTCTCCATGCAGAGAATGCTAATTCATCTTTCTAATTTGATTTTACAAAGATACACTTTAGGAATTTTTTCTGCCATGCTTGTTGGACATTATTTTTGATAAATACTTTATCAAGGATTTCTCTCCATTATAAGCTGCTGCTACTATTCCGCAGGCTGTTAATGCTGCTGTAGTATTATATTGTGCTCTATTATATTTATTATTATTATTTTTTTTTTAATATTAAGGTGACCACTTAGGTTCCCGGCACTTAGCTTTATTCAGATAATTATAATATTACATCAATTTTACGAGAATACAACTAGCCATATGTGTACTTTTGGTACCTAATTTAAGTAGTCCGCCTAGGTTCTTTATTATATTATAGTTGCTTGCAAGAGGATATCCATTATAATCTGGTAGAGTATTTTTAATATTATCTTGATTGTTAACATTTGATCTAAACTAGCTTAAAGCTTTATCTTTATTTTCTTCATAAATATCTAATGCTACATCAGATAATTTGGTAAATACTTTTGCTATTATTGCTCTCTATAATGAAGTATTGCAAAATACTTTTGGGTCATTTGCATTTGCTATTCGATAGTTAGCATCTTGTCTTGTATATCCTTCGTCAAGATTTTCTGAGAATACTCTGAATTCAAATAATATTTTTGATATATATAAAGAAATTGTAGTTTCTATTTGATTTCTCCATTTGATATATTTTTTAGAGTCTTTACTGAAAGATTGTATTGCATTTTCTAGTCCTTGAATATTTGATATCTTAAGTTTTGTTGCCATTTTTAACTAAAATATTCTCTATAACTTATTAGTTTAAATCGATATTTACACTGTACTGTTTTTAACTACTTTCTAATATTATCTTTAGTTGCTCTAGTTACTTGAAGTACATCTTCTAGGATTTGTTTTTTTTCTAATAAGAATAAATATAATAATAAGGCTGCTATTTCTTCTTCTGTAATATCAATATAATAGTTTTCTTCTTCTTCATATATCCAGATTCTATTTTGGTTATCTGTTCGAGTTTTGATTATTCTTCTTATTGCTAGTCTTCCTAGATTATTTAGTTTGTAATATAGTCTTGGTATAACTTCTTTAATTTTTGCTTTTTCTGTGTTTTGTAAAGGTTTTGAATATTTTTGAAAAAATTGGTTGAAAACTTCTTAGAAAGTTATTTCTGTTTCAGGGTTTATTTACTGATAAAGAACTCTGGTTTAGATTTGTTTCTTCAGAAAGTTTCTTTATACACTCTTCTGGTTCTTTATATTGTATTGCTAGTTGCAATAGTTTTGGATATGATCTTGGTGCTAATTTTCCATTAATGTAGACTTCTTTATATTCGTGAAGTACGTATTTTTCTGCAATTTCTTTTACAGGTTGGTTTTTTATTATGACTTTTGATCTTGGTCTGATAACAGGTGGTTGCTTAGAAATTTCTTTTT